CGACCAGGTCAGTGTGCTCCCGCTTTACGGATGAGGCCTCATTCTAAGCCTTTTCCAGCTCAGCTCGGAGAATTGAGAGGTCCTTGAGGGCCTCATCTTGTTGTTCACTAAAAGCCCTGTACATGTCCTTCTTCCGGACTTGCTATTTGAGCTTGAACTCGAGCTGGCTGATTCTTAAGCAGGACCGAAGAAAGCTTTCATGATGAAGCACTGAAGCCTAAAAAACAACGAAGTCATTAGAACATGTCTAAAACTAAGCAAAATTCGCAATGGGTACGAAGAGTAGACGTCTTACCTGGTTCAATGCCTGTTGCGCTTCGTTGAAAAGGCTCAATGTGCCTACTTCATTCATCTTTGCTTGGCCCTCCTCGGTCACCAGGCAACGGAGATAGCTAGCCATACCCACCGGAGCTGACAACGCCCGAGCGTCCACTAGGATAGTAAGAATGACCATTCTCTTACGGTCAGGATCCACGCTCAGGGCAGGGAACTGCCTCACTAGCTTCGGGCTCGTGCTCGGCTCGCCCACTCCCGATGGCACGTCCTTTTTTGGGACCTCTAGATGACCAAATCCTGAGTAGTCCTCCAACGCGCCCATGTCCATGCCGTCAAAGAACATGTTGAGGGCATCGTCTGGACCCAATGCCATTTCGTTTGATTTCTCCCCTTCGGATCGAGCCCCTTCGAACATGGACTTTGTGTGGGACGGCGTCCTCGTGATGTCAATGACACCAACGCCTTCCTTCGGGGTGGGAGCGGTTTCTCGGGAGGCCATGGCCTCTGACTCTCCTCCCGAGCTAGGGGAGGATCAACCTCTTGGCCACCTTTTCCGATCACCACCTGCTCCCCATCGTTGAGGGTTGACTCGTGAGCAATGCATTTAAGGTCGTCATCCTTGGGGTAATCCCTGAGCCGGTAGAGGGAATTAGAGTCTGGCACCCTAGACTTGGTGCTCTTTTTGTTGCTTCTCCTGACCCAGACGGCCACAATCCTCTTCTTCTTCTTCACCTCGACATCCGGGGAGCCCGAGGACTTCCTTTTCTTCTTCTTTTTCTCCTCCTTTGCGGCAGCCCCTGGCTGTCCAGAAACAGAGAGTTCGGCAAGCAAGGACGGATCCTCGTCCTCATCTAATGGCCTGAGCTCGGTGGTCTTGGGCAAACCTCTGAGAAGGGAGAAGACTCAGTGAAGTACAAGTCAAATGTGTGAGTAATCATTCGAGATAGAGCCTCACCATGGGAACAGGACTCCCATTTGCCCTTCGAGAGTTTGCGCCATGCGCCCTCGGAGTAAGATATCTGTTTGCAGATCCCCTCGATCCACTCCTTGAAATGGGGGACTGCATTAGAAACTTGGGAAACCGCTGCACAACGATAAACACAGGCAATTAGGAAAAGAATAAAAGGTAATGCAAAATACTTGAGAAGGAAAAGACTTACGGAATACGTTCCACTTTTTGGGGAACAGTAGAAATTCAGAGGGAATGAGGTCTTCGGTTTTCACCCAAACGAACGTCCCCTACCATCCTCAATCTCGGTCCTCGTCAATGCTCGAGAACAGAGCTTTACTGACTCGGCGAATGAGCTTGATCAAACCCCCCGGAAGATTCGAGGACTGTAGAGATGAAGCAGATGGTCGAGGGTGAACCGAGGTTAAGAAGTATGAAGATTTAAGGATGAAGATATGAAGATCTAAGGAGCAATGTATGAAGATTTCAAGAAGTTAAAGGCGAGTGGAGAATTCGAGGGTAAGTCAAAGAGTTTTGGAATCGGTAAAAGGAGAAGTGAAAAAGGGGTAGGAGATTTTATAGAGGAAGAACAATCAATGCGCGACGTTTTGCATTCGAGGACAGTCAACCGGCGGCTGACGCGTGTCCGAAGCAAGAACGACGCGACTGATGGGACGTTTCGTTGACCCGTCAACTCGGTCGTAGCGTACGAAGGAAGAAAGCGGGGTTCACTTTTCGCTTTCCGTCGCTTCGGTAAATCTACCCTCCGAAAAATGAGGGGACTATATGTGTACGAGTATAATCGGGGGCAATGTCTGCCCCGATTATCCGGTGAGAGAACGAAGGGAAAGCACGGATCCGTGAGGTTATAATCGAGGCCAGAAACACCGGGCACGATAAAGCAGTGGACGATATATCCGACATCGAGCATGGTAAAGTAACGCACTTCGGATCGAGTATAACTTCTAGACCTCGGGGGACGCAGTGGATGGTTATGCATGACGGATAGGGGGCCGTAATACTCGCCCTCAACCGGATATTACGACGCGAATCTCGTGCAGTATCGATTATGGATCAACAGTTACCGGAAAAAGAAGATTTTTACCTTTTTAGTCTTATACTAGGACTGAAATTCTCCTACTATATAAAGGGGGAGTCTTTCTTTAGTCTGACACATTGTAACACGCAATTGAAAGAAATAAAAGTTTTACTTTGTCTTCTAGCTACTATTAAAGGCATTACTCACTTGTTCTTTTCTCCATTCGTAGTTCGGCTTGATCCGAGGGTCCAATCGAGGGTGAATCCCACTGTTCAATACAAGATTAGACTTGGTCATCGTATTGCAATTGGTTTGATCGTTTATTTTGTCTTTAATCCATCTATCTGTTATTCTTAATTTTTCGTATTGAGTTAAACCACGTATCCTTTAAACCGCATACCAATTTAATTGTTACTCATTTTTGGGGTAAACAAAAATAATCTAGAATTTTATACTAGAATTATTTCCAACTAAATGTACTAGTATAAAATAATATAGGATTTTATACCAGAATTATTTTCCTTATTTTGTAACTAAACGGTCCATTTCTTATAGACTCGCTGTAACTTTTTGTGCTTTTGTTGGATTGAAAGACAATTTAGATCCTAGTAGATTTATTAATATTATTATCCATTGAAGCAGTAAAGAGATGCATTTAGTATGTGTTTAGGATTTATAAGCCTTAAACGTTAAATTGGTTCAGTAGCAAAATGTAGCCCAACAGTGACTTACTCACTAGATCTCATCATCTCCTGAAATCTCCTAGTTAGATAGATATCTTTTGCCAGGACTAACTTTGAGTCAACCAATTGTCACATTTTCATTGGATATGAGTGATTCCAGATGGCAAATATCTTTCCACTAACAGAATTTCCCAATTTTCATTTATTTCCCCTTCTACCTATGTGGCAGTTTATGGGTCCCTCATCATCTTCTAAAACCAACAGAAACAAAGAAACAGATTTGAGGATATGGAAGCAGAGATAAGGATAAGATTCATTTCTTCTTATTGGCTACTATGAAATTCACAACCCAATCCAGCCGTTGAATTCCTAAAAATCTTTGTTGTCCCACTTGGCACTCTTCAAGATTGAACCAGAGCCACAATTATACCTTTGAAATGGCAGTACAAATGCATAAACAAAAGATACAAAGTTTAACTCACCTTAACTCCATTGCTATTTTTCTTGGTTTCTCCCAACATCAACACCAGCAACTTTATTCAAGTCGGAAAAATGGCAACAGTTACAACACAAGCTTCAGCTGCCATTTTCCGCCCATGTGCCTCAAAAACCAGATTCCTCAGTGGATCATCTGGTAAATTAAACAGAGAGGTCTCTTTTAAGCCCTTGACTTCTTCATCTTACAACTCATTCAAGGTTGAAGCTAAGAAAGGTCAATGGCTTCCAGGCTTAGCCTCTCCTACTTATCTTGATGGCAGGTACATACATTCACCTTTATAATTGGGTTATCCAGTTGTTTATAAAGACACACTTTTATTTACTTAATTATGGGTGTAGTCTTGATTCTTTTTCATGAGCCAAGTATGTTAAATTTTCTTTCTTTTTTTCTTAAAATACTCGTGGCAGAAAGACTTAATCACAGGACCTAGGTCTGCTCGATATCATATTGAATTGTGTGACTACCTCATGTGAAAACTTAACTTAAGCTGTTACAAAGAGCATACTTTTACTAATGGTTTTTAGCCTCGTTCTAATACTCGAATGCTTGCTTGTCTTAGTCTCCCAGGAGACAATGGTTTTGATCCATTGGGACTTGCTGAGGACCCAGAGAACTTGAAATGGTTCGTCCAGGCTGAACTGGTGAACGGTCGTTGGGCTATGTTGGGTGTTGCTGGGATGCTGCTGCCTGAGGTTTTCACTAACATTGGAATACTTAACGTGCCCAAATGGTACGATGCTGGAAAAGAAGAGTACTTTGCATCTTCATCAACCCTGTTTGTGATCGAGTTCATCTTGTTCCACTACGTCGAGATCAGAAGGTGGCAAGACATTAAGAACCCAGGAAGTGTTAACCAAGACCCCATCTTCAAGAGCTACAGCTTGCCTCCTAATGAAGTTGGATACCCCGGTGGTATTTTCAACCCACTCAACTTTGCACCAACTGCCGAGGCCAAAGAAAAGGAAATTGCTAATGGTAAGTCTAACAACCACAACCCTGTTATATTTCACGTACGATCACTAAACTTTATCCACTGTAAGAATAAAATAACACAACTAATACTAAACTTTATCTACTATAATAGTAACATCACTAACTTTCACATGGATAATATGCAGGGAGATTGGCAATGTTGGCATTTTTGGGATTCATAGTGCAGCACAATGTAGTTGGAAAGGGACCTTTTGACAACCTTCTGCAGCACCTCTCAGACCCATGGCACAACACCATTGTCCAAACACTCAGCAACTAGAAAACCTCATGGAAACTGGATTGAATATATTGTTACCCTTGTAACCATGTTATGGTTTTTGATCAAGAATAGAGCTTTGTGGTAAACAAGGAACTTTTAATGTACAGGGCATTTAAAATTGCACGTCTTATTCGTGTTATTCCCACTAAATCATCAGGTATATAAAGAGGAAGAAAAGCCCCCTTTAGCTAGTTCTCGACTCTCATCGAGACTCGGATTTGGTAAAAGGGAAAAGCTTTCTTTTAGTAGTTCAATTTGCATCTGAATTGCAGAAGAAATCCTCGTAATTTAATGAAGCGAAGTGAAATAAGTCTTGGTCTCAAATCTAATATATGAGCAAGCTCTTATTCTAATTATACAGATCAGAGCACAACACCTATAACCATTTGAACATAATTATCTACGAACAGCAACTGAACCTGTAAATATAACCTCATTCCCTAATGAAGAGTTCTTTTAGCCACAAGAAAACACAAGTTTTGCTACATCTCGGCAGTTCAATCACGCGAACAGTTCCCTTGCTGCAGGAAATAGATCCAAAACCCCAATGAAACCAAGTAAGAGATGTTAGACCAGACAGGATCAATTAAAATGCGTCATGCTCTGGAGCTGTTATTACAAAATTCAAGTGCAAAACCGTTAAGCTATTTATACAGTTTACACTGCTTTTCCCTAACAGCAAAAGCAAGAGACAAACAGAAACAGAAGAACAAGGGGAGGAAGGGCAAGAGGAAGAGCAGTCCCTAAGTCTCCCAAAATCCATATTGAGGAAAAAGTATATAGTTCATCAATAGTATGACTGTTTCCTAAAAACTTGTTGCTGCATTAGGATCATCAATTACCATCAAAACAAAATACTTCAGTATTAATCCAGCTTTTGGAAAGAAACGATATATTACCTTCCGTACATGAACTGCATTAAGTGACTCCCTTAGTTCACACTCCATCTGTGTAAGATGTTCCACCTTATTTATCTTATCAGAATTACTCTACCAGCTACAACCATGCAGAGGAGTTAGGTCAATAAAAGATGAATGATGACATTAGTCATTTAGCCCATATGATCTAGTTCCAACTGCATATTAACTCAATCACTGAAGCAGCATATGTGGATTAAAATTAAAGCAACTGATGGGCCTATAATCACACAAGATGGTATTAATTGGGCCTACAATCAAGCAGAATGCTATTGATTGCGTATAGATGTCCAACAAAAGTGTCCAAACAAGAAAAGTGACTAGATATTCCTCAAAAGTTTCTTCAGATACATTCAAAAAGCAAATGCAAATTACGATTACTCAATTTATTTTCGCAGTTGATAAAGAGGTCAATTTATGGCAACATTTGAACACCAAAAATGAAAAAGGAAAAACAAAGGAATGCACAGCTATACCTGAGTCTCTTTTCTACATCAGTAAGCCGAGATTGCAAGACTTTCACTTGGTTGTTCAATTCCTGTCAGCACCAATTACTAAAAACAATTATATACAAGACTTAAGTTTTACAACAGAAGCCAAAATGGAGTTGACTGAGTAAAATACTGCATACCTCAACTGATGGATCACTGCAACAGAAACAAAAACGGGGGAAAGACAAGGTAAATGGTTAACATGATGCCTTACAACCTTGAAAAAGAGAACCATTCTTTTCGTTAGGTACAAATTTGAAAGAAAAGATCCTCAAATTGATTAAAGCTACTTACCTAGCATCTAGAAACTCTTGCACACCTACATCCTGATCAAGCTTCTTAAAAGTTTTCCTCAGTGTCTGTAATGTAACCATTAACATTGTGATTACATTCAACTGGATGAAGAAATAAAAACAAACCAGAGAAAGCAGAAAAATCAGATTGGTTATGAATATCAAACTTACTTCAAGGCTCTCCAACTTCCTGTTTTAAGTTCAAGATTAACAGAAAACTGGTCATTTAGCCTCTTTATCATATACTCTTAGATGAGACTAATCCAAATAGGCAAGGCTGTTTTTTGTACCTTTTTGCCCTTTCTTGAGGAGTCAATTGAGCAAATTTTGCAATTATTTCATCAAAATTGCTGAAGACATGCAACAGAAATTAGGGGATGAATAATCCTATAGTTCACCATAATGATGAAGGACCTGTGATTAGCTAGTGACAGATAAATAAAGCACAGGGACTAAATCAGCACAGAAGACTAACTCTGACTAAAGGCTAGTAGTAGAAAATAGCAATTAAAACCTTCCTTGTGCACTTTGACTATTTAGAAGATCATCTTCTAGAGGAGTAAAGACTCTTCATACCAGGTAACTTAAAATGAGAACATCGCTCAGTTTGACCTTTGCATGCCCAGTGCACGACGCTAGAAGTTTGGGTACTTGTCAAAGATAGAGTACAGTCACCAATAGGCAATAAAGTAACCTGTTGTGTCACATCCCCCAATGAAGAGATCAATGATACTATGTAACAATCCTAACCTCATAGATCATTACATACACAAATGATATTCCATGGATTTCAAGTAAGGTACAACCACAGTGGTCCTCGATGAGACTAAAATGCAAAATTACACCAAATTAGATCTAAACGCTAAAGAACTAATCTAATTACTCATGACTTTCAACCAATCCACGTGCCTCTAACCAATTCGGATAATGACATATACTACTTAATAAAAGTTACAGGAAAGAAACTAGAATGGTCACTGCAGATTATTAATAGCATGTTCAAGTGTGACAGATGCTAGGGTAGTACCTTCGTTCTCCTTGAAATAGCGTTGGTTTTCCAGTCGGAGAAAACATAAGAAGGAGAATGTCGATATCACATAACACTGAAATCTCCTTAGCTTTCTTCAAGATTCCGGACCTTTTTTTGCAATAAGTGACTTGGCGGTTACTACTGGTCTCCAATCTCCTAATGTTGATCCTTACCCTTCCCATCATATAAACAACCAAAATGAACATGGCGATTAGGTTAAAGCACCAAATTGAAATGGAATTAGGCTACAAGTACCTTAAGGCTATAGGCTCAAGTAGAAATGCAGTCGACGAGGGAGGAGTAAATATGTGTTTCCCTATATAGATACCGGGAGTGGAGGCAGCACAGGAATCTCGACTGTCTATTTCAAAGAGATACTCCGTTCCCGCACTTTGGAACTTGGGATTGCTCGTCCTAACTAAGTCCCATGTGATGCACTTGTCAAACTCGACGTTTCAGGCAAGTCCCCGATCATCAAAACCAGGGGCGGATTTAGTAGTTTTGTTGGTATGTGGATAACTGTTCGTTTTTTACTAACACGACTCGCTTTTAAGAGACTACACAAGTAGCTTCTCAGATCTTAAAGCTTCCAATATGAAATTTTGATTAGCACACTCAACACCATAGAATTAACATGCTGACTCTACCTGTCCAGATTTATATATATATATATATATATATATATATATATAGATTAGATTTGTTTAAGATCTATTTAGATTATGTATAAGATTCATTCAACCACTTCCATTAATTATGTTTTCATATATAATTTTTAATTATTAATGTTGTCCTAAAATTTCCAAGTGGCTTCATTATAGCTTGACACTTGGCTTTTCCTCATGCTTCACTACCCTCCTTTAAATATAACTTGTATTAGTACCTCGCGTGATGCGCGGACATGAACCATGTCAAATTATGATTTGGGTTATTTGGATTATGTGCAAATAACCTTAAAATTAAACCTTCGAAATAGAAATTATAAATGATTATTAGATATTAATTAAGAAGCACGACATGAAACCATTTTTCAAATCTCATAGTGGATAACTTTTTTTTGATATCCGTAATAACCCAACCCCTTGATTTTGGCATTTGTATTTTGCTTTACGATCAATATAAGAATACTAAACATATAATGTTATGATCTGTCTAGTTTGAGCACATTAACAGCTTGTTTGGATTATTGTCACATGTCATTTCATAATGTATCATATTGTATTGTATTGTAATGTATTGTATTGTTTGATGAATACAATATTTGAATAGATTGTATCGTTTGCCGTCGTTTCATGATATCGCACACTAACAATATGAAGAATAAACTTGCAATATTACTAAGAAAAAATAGAATACATAGTAGAATTATTATATAAAAAGTAAGATAAATATGATTATTTAATAACAAAGAAGGGCAAGATGCGAGAAAAAAAAGCTAAGAAACGACGCCACCACACCAAATATGTTGTTTCATAAAGTGACACTTTTCGTCGTTACATAACGATGAATTTAACGATACGATACAATAAGATTAAAGTAACAATCAAAACAAACATTGTATTTAAAGTAACAGCACGATATAATACGATAGGGAACAACCATCCAAACAAGTTGTAAATCATATTATTTTTAAAAATATTATTACTACCACTTTATTTTTTATCTCAAATTCAAATAAGTCTTATCCTTCTATACTTTTAGACAAATATTTTTTCTCTTTATTGTTCCTTGCTTATAGTTTTTGCATTATTTATTACTTAATATTGTTATACTATAATGTGATTTTTTCTTAGCTTATTGTCACGACCCAATTTCACCTATAGGTCGTGATGGCGCCCAACACTACAGCTAGGCAAGCTAACTAATAAGTCAATCGTACATTGGTTAAACTTTTATTCCAAGAAAATAATGAAATACCAACTTCTACCAATGTGTGTGCCAAGACCCGGTGTCACAAGTGCATGAGCATCTAGTAGATTATACAAAACTCCAAATACTGTCTGAAATGAAATAGACAGAATATAAATATAAGAAGAGACACTGGTAGCTGCAGAACGGCTCAGAAAGGCAGCTCACCACTATGCCT